AGATTCCTGGCTGGCGGCCAGTGAGGGGCAACTCATAGATGTTTCTCTCTCACATCAATGTTTCTCTCCTCTTTCTCCTTTCCCCTCTCTCTAAAAATAAATAAAATCTTAGAAACAAAAAGATCTGAATGATGCAAAGGGAACAAGTAATAAAATCATGGGGTGGGGAGAGGAGTGCTCCATGTAAAGAAAAGAGCAAATACAAAAGCCTTGAGGCAGGAATCATGTCTGAGAAGTAGTAATGTAGGTAGTAGAGTAAAGTAACAGAAAAAGTCCAAAATGATGTCCTGTTAGTAGCCAAATCTTAGAATTTTAGAAGGCACAATAGGACTTATTTTTAAGAGAAATGAAAAGCCATGAGAGTTCAGAGCAGACATTGCATGAAATGATGTAAATTCTAAAAGGATTATTCTATCTATTATGAGATGAGGCTGTGGTGTGGCCTGAGTGAAAAGAAAGCAGGGAAAATAGGAGTAGTAGGGTAGGCAAGAGATGTGGTGGAAAAGATATGGTTTTATTTGGATGTATTTTGAAGGAAGAGTCAATAAAATAGTCTTATCTTCTCATAGTTTCTATGTTTACTGAGGAATTTACCATGTTGCTTTGTTAAATAACAAAGATGAAGTAAAAAAAGTACTGCATTTGAGAATCAAAGAATAGTATGTTAAACTTAGCTATGTCTTTTACCAACTAACTTGGAGACCTAAAGATATCACTTTAATTCTCTGGCCTCAGATGTCTTATCAGTAAAACAAAAATATTAACAGTTTCCTTGCCTTGCTCATAGGATTGTTATGAAGGTCCAATGAGCTAACAAATTAAGCTCTGTAATTTTTATTTAACGAATTTGCTAGATTAAGAAAACCTCCATTTTCTTGTAAAACATAGATCGATACTGATGGAACTCTCTAGCTATAACATTCACATGCTCCCAGACTAATTAAGTGTGGGTTGGTTAACTATAGGAATGAATGTATACCTGTCTATTATATATAATTATTAATTATCATCTGCATTAATTTATTTTAACCAATGAGCCATGCATATTAATTAAGCAACCATGTAAATTAAGCAACCAACCATGCTGCTTCATTCATACAGTATATTAAGTGTGTACTATAACAGTTCTGAATACTGACTGTACATCAGAATCTTCTGTGAGGCCTCTTTAAAAAATGCAAGTGCCGCCCTGGCTGGCATAGCTCAATGGATTGAGCGCGGGCCTGCGAACCAGAGTATCGAGGTTCAGTTCCCAGTCAGGGCACATGCCTGGGTTGCAGGCCAGTTCCCAGCAGGGGATGCATGAGAGGCAACTATACATTGATGTTTCTCTCCCACTCTTTCTCCTTCCCTTCCCCTCTCTCGAAAAATAAATAAATAAATAAATATTTTTTAAAAATGCAAGTGCCTAGGCCTCATCCCTAAAGATTTTGATTCTCTAAAACAAGGATGGAGCTAGAAATCTTTCTTTTAGACAGACAGTTGAAAACCACTAGCCTGTTAGGTAATAAGCACCTATCAGTGATAAGGAAACAAAATATATTTGCCTCTCAAAGAGTTCACAGTATGGTGACAGTAAGAGAAATAATATTTTTAATCATAACAAGGTGCTAAATTCACTCTACAGGTATATGCCAGGCGATATAGGAAAACAGAGAGGGGGGGAAAAAACTCTGCCTGGGCAGGTAGATAAGGAAAGTAGTGGTCTCACCTTCATAAAGGTGGTGTTTGAACTTTGATGTAAAGGGTAGCTGGGAATTCTCCAATTATACTAAAGCTGGAAGAGATATTCTAGACAGAAGTGACACACTGAGAAAAGGCATTAGGACATGAGAAAGTTTGGTGCTTTCAGGGAAAACAATATGCTTAGGGAATCACAGAAATGAGGATGGAAAGGTAAACTGCACCTGTATGCATTTCTGAATGGAACTACATACAGATGAAGTTAAGTACTTTGAAGTTTATTGTATAAAGCAGTGATTTCAAATCGTTTCATAGAATTCTAACTCATAAAAGGCATTTCTTGCATTTCACAAGGACATTTAAATGCATATATACTAAATTTAAAACAGATTGTAGTAACCAATGCATTAACCTGTTTGGGTTTTTTGGTTTTTTTTTTTGCTGACCTTGAACCAAAATTTCATGTACCATTTCTGCTTTTTAACTTCTTATAGATATATCACTGATTATAGCAGTAGCTTTATAAATTTACTTTTCTAAAGCTAGCAAATGTCCTACTACCTGCCTGTGGATAATATTACACAAGAACTAATAATAATAATAATAATAAGTATATACCTACAGAGATGATATAATTCATTATTTACTTTAAAATATATGCCAATCAACTACCACATTTATTGAATAAATGTTATTTACTAGAGTTTCACATTAGACTTGTTTGTGGAGCATCACTGGTCTAGAAGGACTGAAACAGAATTTTTTATCAGGGAAATGACACAATTAACATTGTAATTCAGATATAATAGTTATAACAACAAAAATGAATTGGACTAGGGTGAAATGAGAGGTGAGATCAGTTAGGAAGCGATTTCAAGAGACCAGGCAAGAAAATATGATGAAATGACAAATAGCCGAGATGGCAAAATGAAATATATAGAACTCAATGACTCTTCAGATAATAGAGAGAAGGATGGTTTTAAAAAAAACAGATTCTAGATTTATAGTTTAATTTTGACCATGTTGAAAAGGTACAAGTATCCAGAAGGTGCCAGCTTCTTAGTACTCAGAATAGAATGTTCTTTGCACATTTAATCAGTGAGTACAAAAGAAGTCCCTATTTTAGTAACAGTTCTAATTTTGGAATTTTTCTTCATCTACTTTTATATATTTTATTATAGTCTGTGTAATGTAAAGCACAAACATATAACCACTTATTAAAATTAACTATATTCCTATCCAAAGATGCCATAGTACTTTCACCATTTAGTAAGATTTCAATACTATTAGTTGTCTGCTTACATAGCTATCCCTATAATTTCTTTGACAATTGTTACCTAATGTTGTTATAACCCATTGGTGATAGTCATTCCACCAAGTACAAGGTGATTTTAAAACTTTTGCAATAATATAAATATACATTTTATTGCCTTTTCCAATTTATACATTGCCTTCAACTAATTGTCTTGTTTCATCTTCTTGATAACCTTCTTAAGAAAGAAGGGCAGAAATACTTATTACCATATTACAGATGAGAAAATCTAGTCTCAAGGCAGATAAAGGTCTTCACCAAGATTATATAGCTGGCAAATGGCAGAGCTGTAAATAAAATACACATTTTCTGATTCCAAGGCCATTCAATGCTCTTCCTACTACACCATGACTATCTCTTGTCTGAATAAGGAGGATGACTATAATCCCATTTTCGGCTCTTGCACTCACTCATTTCTTCTGAATATTTCTATCTAAAACCTTCTCTACCCTTCTCAGCTTTATAACCTCAACAGCCCAATGCCACTTGGCTTCAGACATCTACTTTTTCTATATCAGTTTTACATCTGCTAAAATTCTCTTCCATCACTACCACATTCATGAACTGAGAGAATTTGGAAATTTTTTCAAATCTCGAAATGAAATAGTAATACAAGACTAGAGAATCAGGGCATAACTCCCTTGCCTAGCAGTCCAAGTTTGATCTCTAGGAACCTTTTATATATTTATCTCATGATCACTATTTAATCTCTCCTTCATCTGACAAAATATATGTTATTTCAAATTGAGGACAAAAACTGTATAATATTTTTATCCAAAATTATACTGTATACAAAGCTCACAAGGTAGGTTATAATTAAATCTATTCATGTAACCTAATTATAAATAAACTCACTTTTATGTAAACTAATTTACAACATTTTAATAACCACAAAGTTAATGTTTTATAATAATGCTACTGGGAATGGAGACTAGTGCAGTAATTGAAACTTACTTTATTATACATAATTTGTTTACTACAAAACTAATTTTAACAATTAAAAAAACTTGTTGAAGTGTGAAAAAATTTAATACTTATTTTCTATAATTTCAAAATTTTACTGTTTCTTTTTGTGCAATCTAACACAATAAATATATTTTATAAATATATTTATTAAAATATATTTATCTATGTCATATGAATGACTTAATAGACTTTTTATTATTACACGTGCCAGGTCAAAAGCACATTCCTAGGACACCATAAAAAAGGACAATAAAAATTACAAGTCACTTTATTTCAGAAAATATAGCAACACCTCTATATATTACCATAATACTTATTTTGTAAGTTCTCATCTCTCCCCTTCAGAAACACTCATTAGAAGTTCAACATTAAAGTATAATTACCTAAAATGTTTCTCCACTAAACCAGAACACTATTTTTGAGTTCTTATGAGTATTAGAAGTTCTTATGATTAAGTTCGTGGCATTTGTTTGTTTAGAGTTTAAGACTCTGAAAGTGTTTTTATTCAGAATTTAAACAATAATTTTAAATCAATGCCATTAGTTCTTTTAAAATGGATGTATTCAACTAGATGTTACCTACCTGATTCTAACACCATCTTAATAGATGAACAGTGAAATAAAATAACACTTAGTTTATCTGAATGACATCATAGGATTAACCAGAATGACGATTTTTCTCCTTCAATTTACAACTTATACATAAATAGCACATTAAAATTTTTCTCTACTATTGAGCCTTAACATTATTTGCAAAATCCACTTTTTATGTTTTCTTATTTCCCCCTTAAACTACCAGTGCTTTTTAAGTTGATGCTGGTATATCTTTATTAATTCAACCTGACCTATACACAGAGTTCTCTAAACCTGACTCTCTGATGCTGGCATCTCAACAATTTTCAGTCCTGAGTATGTGTGTGTGTGTGTGTGTGTGTGTGTGTGTGCGTGTGTGTGTGTGTGTGTGAGAGAACATTTCTTTCCCCACAACAGTAAAATTTTAAAAAATTTAAAAATAGGTTTTAAACCAGTTCAAAACTTACCTTGCAGATCTGGAAATATTCTGAAGTCAGAGTTTCCTGTATCTCTTCTCTGAGAACCCCTGCAGTCCCTCCTGAGTGCACGGAACCACTTCCAGCCCCACCACCACTGTTACTGCCACTGCCGCTACCACTGCCAGGGGAGGACGCAGTTAAGCCATCCAAAACTTTTCGGAAATTAAACTTCTTCATTTTAAAAACTGTTGAGAAATTCAAAGGAAAGGATGACTTAACACATGGTACTATACCCAGGTAAAAGTGTTTAGCTTAATAGCCAGTCCCCATTTTACTAGCATTGGCTATAAAGGACTAAAGAGAGAGAGATGGGGGGGGGGGGGCTACATATTGTCAAATTTTAATTCTAAAAAGCATTATCTTAGAAAAAACGCACAACTCAGAAAACAACGGTATATTCTCCTCATACATCAATTTTTCAAGGGCTTTATTGCCAGCTGTGGCTACGCTTTATCAGCAGTGGGGTAAAAATAAAAGGCAGTGTCATCGTCGTCATTAGCATTGTATCATCATTATTATACAATCAAACCACAAGCCAACAGACCAAGACGGTCTCTGTCTCCTAAGGGCGGGCTTTCCAACTGAAGGTTCAGCTCAGAATATATTCTTTTCAGAAAAATGATGTTTGGGGGGGCGGTACCACCACCTTCCTGGCTATAACCCCATCGTCGTCAAAGCTCTCTTTTGCTCAGTAGAAATGGGGCGGGGGGTGGGAGCTTTTCCCATTCCCTCCCTCCAACACCCCGGACCCCAAAGCATCTGCAGCTGACCCACAGCAACAGCTAATGGGAGGGGCGAGCGGCGGGGCCAGCTGCCCCCGCTTCTCCCTCCGCCTCTGCCTCCGCTACCCCTCCTCCCCTTCCCGAGTCTCCGCCGCCTCCCGCCGCGCTCTGCCCGCGGCCGCCGCCGCTATCGCCCGCCAGTCCGCTCTTCCCGCAGCCCAGCCCGGACGTGAAGCAGCGGTGGCGAGGGCTGCGGCCCGAGTCCTGCCTCTGCCAGCAGGCTCCCCCGGTCCCTCCCCTGGCCGAGCGCAGAGGCTAGGGATTCTCTCCCGAGGACGCGCGAACACAGACACCGCCGTGCAGACATCACGCGCGGGCGCTCACGCTCACAGACGCACACACAGGTGTGAGGGAGCGGCGGCTGGACGGCGGCGTCCGAGTCCCAGAGGGATGGCTCTCTGACTCCAGGCACCTTCCACAGCCGCCGCTAGCCGCCTGTCAGCCCGGGAAGCTCTGGGTGCGGAGGGAGGCGGGCGCGCAGGCGTTAGTCCGACCCGGCGCCCCCAGCTTCTCCAGTCCCTGTTGTCGCGACGCCCGGCGCTCTCCGAGGTCCTAACCGAGCAGGCAAGCTCCGCCACAGACTCCACCACAGGCTCCGCCCTCCCGCCGTGGGAGGCAAGCCCCGCCTCCAAACCGCCCCCTCGGTTTCCCCGCCCCCTTCTGCCCAAACAGCCCTGAGCCCTGAAAGGGGAGGAGAGCTCCCGGACATCAAAGGGCGGGAGTAGCTGCCTCTCCAATCCTAGGCTCGATAGGGTCAAGTTTCACGGCTGCAAAACGCGGAAGAAATTTGGGGATAGGCCGAAGGAAAAGTCCACGAAAGGGGGAGGAGAGAATTTAGAAAGACAGCTGGAGTGTTTGATTGACAGAGGTATTGGCCAGTATGCTGGGAGGCAGTGCTTTAGGGGTTGTAATTGGCGCTACCTGTTGAAGGACGCCAGTGTAAATCAATAGAATGCCTGGAAGCAAGAGAACTAGGGATCTTGAGTCCGAGGCTTTCAGGTTTTCCTTAGGTATGGCTCTGGACAATTTTGTGAATTGGCGAGTATTTTGCAGTTTATCTCCTCTGTGAGCCTTTTCCCGCTCTCCAGGTGCATCTGTTTTGTTCTCCTCGCTGCCCTGCTACTTGCATAATGACTTAACGGGTCACCTCAGCCAGAGGGAATAGTATTTCAATAGAATATGGGGATATATACTGCATAGCTTCAGAGGTACTAAATAATGAATTATCCACCGTGTTCCCTCTAATATGCAGAATTACCCCTTCCGCCACCCAGTTCACATATATATTAAAAGATTTTTTTTTAAATCATTTCTCTCAAGTAGACTATGTCAAGAACATATTTTAAGTTTTTCCTGAGTCACGATAATCCCTGGAAGATTCATTATTGTATGCAGAAATTTTTTTTAAACATCATCAGGATAGGGAGATTCGTTTCTAAGCCCTGATGCGCTACTGAATTGGGAAAAATTAGTACCTGATTACTTAGTCTGTGAAAATGAAGGTCAGCTCATTGGGCCATAGCTGCTTTAGACTTCAATGTGTGCAACACAATAGAACTCATTAGTAATCATCCCAAATATTCTTACATTAAAAAAATCTAGAATGGCATCCTTTTTTTCTTTCTTTGTGTGTGTAGAGGAGGTAGGGGAGGCGGGAAGGGAGACCTGAAAGAGAAATTAGTTGCTCAAGGTCACATATCAAGAAAATGGCAGAGACGAAATAAGGCCCAATATTTCAGATCCTTAGCTCAATGCTTACCTTCTCCTTTTGAATTTTTCAGTGCTTAATGTCTTTTTGAAACCTCCCAGAGACCCCCAATATTGCCTAATAGTCCCAGGTTGTGACAATAAAACTTGTGAAAGCGGGCATAGATTTTTATATTTATCCTATCTTGTTTAACAGCTAGGACAATGTTTCACATAGAATAGGTACTTAAAAGGTTAATAGTTGGTTTACCGGTTATTAGTAAAAGATTTATGAGCCAGTACCAATAACCTGTTTGGGCAGGGTAAAAGTAAGGATGGAAACAAATGTTACAACTGATGTTAACTAGATTTTTGGGAGGGTTCCAAATTCCATATTAAATTTCTAACAAAATGTATCTTTGTCTTTACTATTTTTTTTACATTTTTTCTGTTTTCTTCTTTCTGGCCCATTTCACCTCCAAGCATGGGTGCGTATTAAGGCTAAAGAGTTTGTTTTCCTCATTTTTATGTCTGGCTTTTCTTTAAATGGCTGGCGTTGGGAGGGGACAGGGTGGCTCTAACTCTTTGAGAAGTAGGCATTATTGTCTAAAATAATGGATTTAAATATCTTCTTTCCCTTCATCAGAGAACAACAACAACAAAAAAACATGGATATCCTGATTCAGCAAAGTGAGATGTAATTTCGCAAGAAAACCCCTTAAACCACCCATCGCTACATTGCAGTATTTTAGTAAAGTAGGTGGTGATTTTTATTTGAAAAATGGGGGGAGAACTGAGAATTTAAAAGTACTAGTACACAAAACAAATTGACAAAAATTCTGCTTGAGGACCCCTAAGGGAATTCATTGGCCTATTTGGCCTCAGAAGGAAGTGACAGTGGATATCCTTTCAGATGGGCAGCAAATAAGAATAAAAGAAAAAGCCAAGTCAGAATATATGTGTTTATAAACAAATATATGAAGACTAAAAATAAAATATGATTAGAATGCTGACACTGTGGACTCTCTGGAACTATTTTAAATATCTTCATTCCTCCACAATAGATATCAAATAGCAGAGTGTATTATATATAGTAATTACCCAGTAAAATTAATTTCAATAAATGATAGCAAGTAAAAATCTTAACATAATTTCAATTTCATAGAATGAGAAAACCTGTGGATGGAGAATATTGTGATGCCAGTTCAAAAACTGTAAGCAAAGAATACAAATGAACAAGAAACAGTGTGTTTTGTGTACTCTGGAGACAGGATAAACAATTGTAGCCTAAAAAGCTTGCTAGGTGAGAGAAGCACACTGAAATATCTATGGGAGCAAATTCCATTCTTAATAAATTAAAGAGAAGTAAGATGTAAACCATCTGGTAAAGGGAATGAGACCAGACCATGAAATATAACTGATAAATAATATAGAGAACTTTAGAGTTGGGTCAGATAACAGTAATGGAGAACTTTAATAATTTTACTGCAAACTAGAAGAGTATCTCATGGAGAGGAGTTTCTGATAAGCCATGACATCTTAAAATTGCAAGTATGAAGAACTGCAAGAAAGAAAAAAATAGTCTAACCTTGAGCCTTGAAGCAAAACCATGAGATTATTCAAACAAGTCTAATATATTGGGCAGATTTTTAGGATATATGTAAAAGATGTATTACACACCACTTTAAGGGACTGTGATCTTGAATTCAAGTCAGTAGTGAAGCTAATAGAAGCTGCTTTTTCACATTCTAACGATAATCAGATAAATGTACAAAGTATGTACATCTTTTGCACTTCACACAAAGAAGATTTGCTAAACTTACTAGGCTTGGAGAAAACAAAGCCAGACCTACTGAGGTTAGGAGTGTAACATGAATTCTGGGGAAATGCAATTTAAATTATAACAAATGGCAATTAAACTCAACATTCTTTGAGCAGAGCATCTACAATAAACTGGAACTGGGTAAACAGTTTTACATTTAGTTTCTCATATAATTCTCACAATAATCATGTATGGTAGCTATTGATAACTCTATTTTATAGCTAAAGAAAAGAAGCAAAGAAGGGTTAAGCAGGATGCCCAATATCATAAGTCCAATGCAGTGATTTTCAACCTTTTTCATCTCCTAGCACACATAAACATTACAAAAATTTCATGGCACACCGATAATATATTTTTTGCCAATCTGACAAAAAAAATGGGTATAATTTTTATTCATTCACACTAGACAACTATTGTTGTATTGGCTGTTGTCTTTTTTTTTTTATTTGATAATCTAAGGGAAAAGAGCTCAGTGCCCCTAAGTAGTCAGGTACTGGGTGTTTTAAAAAATTCTTGCAGCACACCTGTTGAAAGTCACGTGTCTAGTGGGTTGTGAAGTAGGAATTTGGGTTCACATAATCCCAAAGCTCTTCCCTCATGCTGCTAGCTTTCTTTGGGGAAACCAAAGAAATCCTATTATTTAGTTATTTGTTATTAGAAAAGGGGATTATTACAAAGTTTAAATGTTAGGATAACACAATTTTAAAAAAGGAAAAGAGCTGCTAAGGAGTTTGGCTACTAGAACTAAAAAGGAATTTTAGAGATGGGAAGTGAGTACCAGAAGCAGAGAACTTTTGTGGTGGCAAGCTAATAGAAGGTTCTTATCTCACAAGAAATCTGAGTATAGTTTAAAATATAGTAAGGGTCCTGGGGAGTAACCCACTAATACGTAATAAATCAGTTATTCAATACCTAATTGGATGTAGCAAGGTAGTACTAAATTGTTCAGGGAGGTTATAGTGTTGGAGAGTATCAAAATATCTGGAAGGAGAATTTGGGTGGAGGGAGGGTGGTGACTCAAGGTTTACTTTAACTCCAGGATGGCTATTATTAGCAAGTGTGGAGACATTTCCAATCTGCTTGCTATGAGGTACCAAGTCTTGGACTGAGCTAGCTAATTTATCATTTACTACTGACTCCTCCATTTATAGTGCCATCTTTTATTTGCCAGTCTAGGAGTTAGAATTTTATCAAGAGAACATAGTCAAAACATGGGTTACACCTTTATCCTTTCTGGTAAAATTCTGAAGAGGATTAGGAATTCTCTTTCCTTCTCAATCTTCATCCACACCTTTTCTGACCCTTTTATACATTCTTCATGAGGTGTACTGGTTGATAATTGCCATCTTTCTGTCATACGGCAGGAAATAACAATGAGCATTAAAATACATTAGTCAGCCTATTCCTAGCCCACAATGGGAGAAATCACAGGGTTAATTAAATAATGTCATAACTCTCATGAGTTTCAGATAAACAGTCAGGGTTCATTAGGATAGACCCAAAACCTACAAAGCATGGCTCAGTGCACAATCAAAGACAGAACTGCAAACAGAACTCATCCCTTCTAGAACAAAACTCAAATATTTGCTATTAAACATGTAATTAAAACCAGCTCTTTGCGCATCTTTTAAAATAGATTTTTCACATATCAGTTTCTCACATTGAGATATGGTAAGAGAAAGGGGTTTGGTGTTGGGACAAGACCAAGTTTTCTAGGTGGGGCACTAACATGCCCTTTTAGCCTCTAAGCTGTTATACAGGTTATTATAAGGAATAAATAAGATGTCTATAAGTGATTTGCAGACCACTTTATAAATATATTGTTATTTTATTCTTTTCTTTTTTTGCTTAGTGAAATAGTTTATAGGGATTGACTTTAGAGTTAAATTTATTTTCGGACTATAAATATAAAAGTCTCTTGCATCTGTGGATCAACTGTTGCTCAAATTGAAGGGGAGAAAGAGGATTTGGGGTTTGGGTACATGAACTTTAATATTCTTTCTAATCCAAAATTCTATCTTTATATGATTTATTTATCAAAGTGCACTGTATTCT